AAGTATCCCTGAAGGCCGGTAAGGCAAGTGCATCTTGAGGCCACACGTCCCTGAATCAGTGGTTACCAAAAATTAGTCCAAATAACAGGAGAGTGCTCTGTCAGTGGGGGAATGAACATGGAGATGCCATTCAACTCTGCTGGGAAATGCTTCCACATAATTAAATCGGCTACTGCTGGGGAGGGGGGGTTAAGGACTATGGTGCCATCATCAGGCACGCCAGGTAGGTTGTAGCCTGGAGATGAAGGATCTCCCTTGTGGAATGATACGCATCGCAAAATTGAGGTATCTCAGTAGAGACTGGAGATCCCTCCAAGAACCAGTACCTTTCTGGAGGAACTGGTCCAATTCTAGTCTAATGCGTACCAATTTTCTATTGGGGAGGCATGGAGTCGAGTGAGATACCCAGGAATACCAACTGTGTTGTGGGGTCTATTGTTTTGTCACGGGACAATGGGACATCTAGTGCAGAAAACAGTGCAGTGGTGCTAATGATACTACGTGTAGTGAGGAATCCTGCCTCGACCAGTAAAAAATCGTCTAAATAGTGTATGACCATGGGGCATCTGACTGTATTCAGGAGCGGCCAACAAAGTGTTTCTGCAAATATATTGAACAGCTTCGGGCTGCTCCTGGAGCCGAAAATGAGCCTGGTGGCGAAGTAATAATTATCCCTCCATTTGATGCCGTGGATATGCCAGAGAGATGGCGCAAATATGCAACCTGCAGGCATTGTAGTTACATGATATGCTCCAGCATTGCATATTTGGCCTTGCCATATTACTGGTCTGCCCACCTTATCTCTCTGTCCCCTGTCCTGACTGACTGAGTGGTTGGAGGATGGGTAGGAAGTGGAGGGCTGAGATGTAGAGTGTTCTGCCTCGCATGGAAACAAGTTGGAGGAATGTGAGGTAGTGGAGCAAACTGCACAAGATGGGGGTCTCAAGCCGGCGAAATGCCTGCAGAACAGCTCTGTGTCTAACTGACTCCAATCGATGCGAGTGTTGGACTGGACCAGAGCCGCTGCTGCCTTAGCTGAAATTGCCCCGTGATAATCATAAAAGGTGAAATCCCCGTACTTGTGCCCCAAGTCCACCACCTTGTGTAGATAGAGGTTGAATTCCTCTCGCCTCTGAGGGTATACAGAGCAGATGACATCCCTGTATAGTCCAAAACTGAGAACGAATTCGGGGATGGATAGCTTTATACTGAGACGTGAGTTCCTTGATTTGAGGAGCACTGATCTATCTTCGAAACCAACAGCTTTATTCTCTAGAGTATCCTCTGAAGCTATAAGGCTAACATCCTTGCCATCAAGAATGTCTTCCCTAATGGAAGCTGGAACAGTATATACAGGGTTGATGCCACGTGGAGTGGAGGGAGTGATAGTAATTACCCTACCATACGTGTTTGAAGGTGCAGGTGCTGGGCCTGGAGTGTGAGGTGCTGTGGTAACCATAGGGAGTATGGTTTCTATCTTGGACATTTTCTCGTTTAGTGACTGAACGTTGGACAAGATGGATGACAAAGTATCTTGAACCTTGCCCGAACAGCTGACATTGGCCTCCTGAGAACTTGTGCCGGGCCTGGGATCGTTGGACTGGACCGTTAACAACTTGAAAAGTTCTGCTTTCCTAGCTGTGGCTGGGAAAGGAATGTCCCTACAGCGTAGTTCTGCTGATAATTTAGGTATGGTCAAAGATTTCAGAGACCCAGGGGTAATGGCTATGGGAGATACAGCTGGGGAGATAAGTCTAATAGGTGTAATGAGCTCAGGTAGAGAGCCCTGGAGAGACAGGTTGTCTTCGTGGAGTGATTCTTGCGACATCCTTTGAAGAGATTAGTACACACAAAACTTTGAGCCAAAGGTGAAATACCGTATATAGAACTGACTTGCTAACTAGTACAAGTAGTGGTGAAGAACTTAAAGCGGCACTGACACCCTAGTCACCGCCAAATGCCCCTAAGCCCCCCATATTACCTATTTATTATTCTTTATTTTCTGCCCCGATCTTTATTCAGGGCGCCGCCATCTTTGTGTGGGTAGATGAAGTCCCTGTGGGACACGTCATCAGCCCACACTAGATAGCACTGTGAGATTCCCGCACATGCCCAGTGAAACACCTGGACATGCGTACGGGAATTTCATCTATTCATTCATTCATCAGACAGCCGAATGAATGAATAGAAATATCAGCCGAACAAACAAACACTGTGTATCTGTGTATCAGTGTATCAGTGTTCGTTTGATGAGTTTATTACAAGGAGGGAGCTACCGGCATGCAGCTCCCTCCTTGTAATATGTAACTATAGAAGCGGCAGGGAGAAGTGCTCCCCACCACTTCATAAGCCCCCCAGGCCCCCCTCACTCATGGGGGTCAATATGACCCCCATAATAGCACTAGGGAGATTAAAATCTCCCCAATGCCCCTACTCGCTATACCGCGAGTAGGGGCATGTCTACTAAACAGTGTGGCTGCTCACTGTAAAAAAACAAAAAAACAACAACTATTGGCCCCCACCCCTAAATGACGGGTGGGGGCCCTAAAGTAAAATAAGCGGGGAGACCTATTGTCCCACCCCCACCCCTGCGCGGTGGGTGGGGGCCATATTGATAATGAGGGGGGAGGGACCTACTGTCCACCCCCCCTGGCACCCACCCCTGGGTGGCGAGTGGGGGCCATAAAGATAATGAGGGGGGAGACCCACTGTCCTCCCCCCCACCCCTGGGCGGCGGTTGGGGTCCAAATGACAATGGGGGGGACCTACTGTCCACCCCCCCTCCGGCCCCCACCCCTGGGCGGCAGGTGGGGGCCATAAAGATAATGAGGGGAGGGACCTACTGTCCTCCCCGCCCCCATCCCTGGGCGGCGGGTGGGGGCCAAATGATAATGAGGGGGGGACCTACTGTCCTCCCTCCCGGCCCCCACCCCTGGGCTGCGGGTGGGGGCCCTAAGTAAATTCCCCCCCCCCAAGGTGACTAGGGGTCCCCAAGCCCCTAGACGCCCACCCCCCCACCCAAATAAAAAGTCCCTACCTACCACCCTAACCCTAAAAAATAGTGAGGGGAGAACAAAATAACTAACCTGTAAAATAAAATTAAACTTACCATTCGACGTCTTCTTTTTTCTCAAATCTTCATTTTTCAGCCCCAACAAAGGCCAAATAAAAAACCATCATAACCATCGAACTAAAAAAAAAAAAAAAAATACTGAGCGCAAAAAAAAATCCATCTTCACCCATGGAGGGCTCCGCGCAGACTGAGCTTCGCAGGGTGGGGGAAGGCTTATAAAGCCTTCCCCTGCCCTGCAATTAGGCTAAAAACACTCTGATTGGTAGGTTTAAGCCAATCAGAGTGCTCTTTGTCATTTTACACAGCGTGGGAAAATTCAAAAGAATTTTCCCACTGTGTAAAATGACACAGAGCACTGTGATTGGATGTCTTGAAATCCATCCAATCACAGTGCTCTGTGTCATTTTACACAGCGTGGGAAAGTTCTTTGGAATTTTCCCACACTGTGTAAAATGACACAGAGCACTGTGATGGATGGCTTGAAATCCATCCAATCACAGTGCTCTGTGTCATTTTACACAGCGTGGGAAAGTTCTTTGGAATTTTCCCACGCTGTGTAAAATGACACAGAGCACTATGATTGGATGGATTTCAAGCCATCCAATCACAGTGCTCTGTCTCATTTTACACAGTGTGGGAAAGTTCTTTGGAATTTTCCCACGCTGTGTAAAATGACACAGAGCACTCTGATTGGCTTAAACCCACCAATCAGAGTGTTCTTAGCCTAATTGCAGGGCGGGGCAAGGCTTTATAAGCCTTGCCCCGCCCTGCGGAGCTCAGTCTGCGCGGAGCCCTCCATGGGTAAAGATGAATTATTTTTTTGCGCTCTGGTTTTTTCTTTTTTGTCGGGTCTTTTTTTGCGCTCAGGATTTTTTTTTTTTTTTTTTAGTTCGACGGTTATGATGGTTTTTTTATTTGGCCTTTTTGGGGCTGAAAAATGAAGATTTGAGAGAAAAGAAGACGTCGAATGGTAAGTTTAATTGTATTTTACAGGTTAGTTATTTTATTCCCCCTCACTATTTTTTAGGGTGAGAGGGGTAGGTAGGGACTTTTTATTTGGGTGGGGGGTGGGTGAGGGGGGAATTGACTTAGGGGCCTCCACCCGCCGCCCAGGGGTGGGGGCCGGGGGGGGGGAGGACAGTAGGTCCCCCCCCCATTATCTTTATAGGTCTCCCCCCTTATTTTACTTTAGGGCCCCCACCCGTCGTTTAGGGGTGGGGGCCAATAGTTGTTTTTTTTGCTGCTCACTGTTTACCAGACATGCCCCTACTCACGGTATAGCGAGTAGGGGCATATTATTTACTAATACTAAGTAATTTTTACTTAGTATTAGTAAATGTGGCTGAAAGACCAATTTAGGCCTTTCAGCCTTTTAGTAGATAGCTCCCTAATGCCGTGGGAATTAGGGAGTTATTGACTAAGTGACTGCAAGATGCAGCCACAGCAAGAATAGGATCAGAGTTTCATTCATTCGAATGAAATTCCGATCCGAATAAAGTGCCGAATTGCGTTCTAAAAGAAACGAACATACTGTTCTCATTCAGTTAGAATGCAATTCGGCAGTTTTGTGTAAAGTGACAGGAAGCATTGTGGGAACACAGAGGGAAGGTGAGAATCATGGGAAAATTGCTCTGACCAGCGGAAATGAAGCACACTTTGCTCCTCCGCTGGTCAGAGCTGGTCAAGCGGAGGAATCCTCCATAAGGCAAAGAGTCCCTACTTTGTCTAATGATTTTAAAGAAAACTAAAGAAGACAGGAAGAAAAGAATAATAGATCCTGAGAGAGGGGGAGAAGAGGAAGAGATTGAGGAAAGGTAAGTTCGGCATGACAGTGCCGCTTTAACTAACCATGATAGGTGTAATAACTGGCTGTGTTTTTCTATAGTTGAATAAGTCTTTTATGTATATATATATATATAGATATTTCTTCTTAATTTCTTCTTATCTTCAGTTGATTGATATATATACGTCTTTTGTATATATATTCTTGGGCCAAATGCTCGCCACAATAATATATGTCTATATTATTGAAAAGTAGTAATACGCAATCTTACGTTCTTTATAAAAAATTAGTATTTATTCTACATTCAACAGGAAACAATCATATACTTAACAGATGGTACTTCTTAACGATGTTACAGAGAGTCGTCTTGACATCAGAGAGGAGAGCAAACGGATCGTAGCAGGAAGAGAGCGTAATCCTTTGTCCTTGACTCTATATACCCCAAATTACGTCATAATGTTTAGTTTAGACCCTGCCATATAAGAAAGTTCCCTATATAAAGACCGCCTCAGATCTCTTATACAGCAAATTCCAGAGACCTCATATTACAGAGTAGCAAACACCATCTGTTCTGTTTAACCCATTAGACAGCCACACCTTAATATGTATTTGAATAGGAACATACAGAATATGCAATATTCTACATTTCCCTCTGTTTATGGTTTATTTATAAACCATAATAATGTTATTTACCTGTCCATTCATACATCATTCGTATCACATTTCATATCACAGTCATTGGGTATAAGAAGAGATGTGTTCATAGCTACCCGGTATCTGAGATTCCTTGGAAGTATTGTGTATTACCCTGTTTACAGTTTCCTTTAGTGTATTCTCCTTCTGTTTAACCTTTTCATTTATGAGTATATACAGTTTTCTAATTCTACATTGCATAATTACTTGTAAAACAATACATATTATAGATACACATATAACAATAATAAATGGATGAAATAAAATATTTACAATTGCTGATCCCACAGATGATTTAGCAAGTGTGTTTGTGCTTTTAATTATGTCATTCCACCAAGAGGAACTAGAAACAATTGACCATTCATGTTCTATCACCTTTAATTTACCCTGTTCATGTTCAAATTGAATTTCTGTTTCTTTCAACTGTTTTTGTAACGAATATAATAATATCTTGTCTTTCCTAATCTCATCTGCCCACTTTCTCCATGGAAACTCATTTGTTTGTGAAACATTTAATTGAATAGGCATGCTATCTATATCTTGTATAGGACTCTTTGATATGTTAACTTGAGTTCCTTGAATATGTATTATTAGTGGACCTCCATTGATACAATATAACCCTTTCTGTAATGTTTCTGAATTTGTACATTCTGAAAATGTAGCTCTTAGTAACTCATTATTTGACATAACCTGTACACATACTGTGTCTTTTTCTATGGGAGTTACAATTTCATGAGGATTTTTAACTGTTTTAATTTTACCAGAACATGAACTTTGGTTATGAAAACATGAATGATAAATGGTTTCAACTTGGTTATTTAAACATATTATTTTGGATGGAAAATGTAGACAACTAGAAAGATCTACCTGCTCAAGTTCAGTAATGTTATTATAAGATACAAAATCAGGATATTGTAATTTATAAAATAATAATTGTGTGTTACTAATAGGAATTCCTAACACCGACATTGAAAATAGTGTTTTTTCAATACCAGAAATTGGTATTAAAGAAGAACTTATACATATATCATTGTTACATCCCAACCATTTGTTAACCCATAAATCTGTATGATTTTTAGCGAACGCAAACTCCTCAGGTAAACTACGTTTGAGTTCTATAGGAGTAGTACCACCTAGCATTACAAGGTGGTACTACTCCTATAGAACTCAAACGTAGTTTACCTGAGGAGTTTGCGTTCGCTAAAAATCATACAGATTTATGGGTTAACAAATGGTTGGGATGTAACAATGATATATGTATAAGTTCTTCTTTAATACCAATTTCTGGTATTGAAAAAACACTATTTTCAATGTCGGTGTTAGGAATTCCTATTAGTAACACACAATTATTATTTTATAAATTACAATATCCTGATTTTGTATCTTATAATAACATTACTGAACTTGAGCAGGTAGATCTTTCTAGTTGTCTACATTTTCCATCCAAAATAATATGTTTAAATAACCAAGTTGAAACCATTTATCATTCATGTTTTCATAACCAAAGTTCATGTTCTGGTAAAATTAAAACAGTTAAAAATCCTCATGAAATTGTAACTCCCATAGAAAAAGGTGGTACTACTTAAGGTGCCATCACCTTAAAATCTGTAGAATATTCAACTTGTATCTCTAAACAAGCTTTGGCTACCTGGGATGAATCTGCATTTCTCATTAATGCCAAAGTAGCTTCCTGTAAATGTTGAACAGAGGGTGCAATAACAGAGGCTGTGTTCATAACCATATTTTTCAATATTTGATTTAAACCTCTTTGAATATGCAATCCTTTTCCCCCTATTAACCCTACAGTTCCCAAATCATTCTTTAATGTTTGAATATTCATAGAATTGGTGATACTTCCTATAGTACCAAATCCAGCCATAATTCCTTCTACTATATCTCTTTTTTTTCTGTTTGATACTTTACTTCCTCCAAACCAATGTTCTAAGCCTCGTTCCATATTTAATAAATGTTCCTTACATTGTGGAAATTTACTTGAGATTTTCCACTGAGAAACATTAAAATGCCAAACTATTGTTGCAAATTTCCCATTTAATAACAAAGGCTTTGATTGAAAATGATTCAATTGAAAGGGACTTGATAACTTAAAAACCTTATTTTTGCATTCTACCATTCTGGGAGAGAATACATTTACCTTAACATCACCACATCTCTCCTGATGATTTCTTAACATTATACAACATTGATAGTTTCCACTATCACTGTAGGTAGGATTGTCTAAATAGAAAACAAAAATTTCTTCCGACCAATCCACCTTTCCTAGTACACCTCTGTGAATAACCTTTGGCGTTGTATGTGACATACTACCCAAAAACATTCCTTCCCTTTTCCATGTCATTACAGACTCAGGGGGTAAATTTATATGTGTACTACATGTTAATCTAAGTCTTTCCTTCCTGGATATCTACAAGACTAGGCTTCATTATAATATCTCGCATAACATAATCAGTTACCAGAAACATCATGTTAACTCTTACTGTCAATGATTCCCTAGATGCTCGTATTTCCTATATCCAAGGTATACCTGGAGTATTGTTTTTTAAGAGGAATTCTGGCTCTAAATGTATAAGCCAGTATTGTATTGTATAAAGTACCTCACCACCTCGTCCTCGCGTTGTTACTGAAGTTTGTGCAACGTTCACATACATGTCACCTGACCAATTTACCATTTCCTCTCCATTAACTACAATCATGATATATGCATTTTGTAATATGTTAAGTTCCCATGATCCCGTTTTTACACTGTCTTGTACAAATGAACCTTTGGTCCAACTAAATAAATCATTAGGACCTATTGTAATGTTTAAATTAATAACACTATCTCCAGTGAAATTAATTCGCACATTGCATACTTGTAGATAGCCATCTTTTGTCCCGAAACAAACATGACCTTTTAATACTTGTTCATTGTCTCTCTTTTTTCTAATATTTCCAAATAAGTCATTCTTTAATTCCTGATTGAAAGTCGTTTTGTTCATCTTAAAAATAACTATTACAAGAACTGTAGTCATCAATGTTAGCAGGATGCTGACGAACACCTTCTTTCTGCTACACGGTTGTCTTTGGGAACACATCGTCTGTCACCGGCCAACTTTCGTCTGTAGGTCTGCTTACAAATTATCTAAAATAAACTGAGAAAAACAAAGCAGTATCAATATATTACCAAATTATGTTGTAGGTTTATACAATTTGCACTGATCTGCATGAACCCAAAAAAATTTTGCCTCCGTTTATTCCGTGAACCATCAAGAGGTCTTTGCACTTGTACCATTGTTTGACCCATTGTATCTGTTATGTTATAAGGACCTTCCCAATTTGCCTCCCAAGGTCCAGTTTTCCTAAAAGTTTTTATCATGACCATACCCCCCTTTAAAAACTTTGAAAAATCAGGAGGTGCCATTTTGCACATTCGAGTAGTTGCATGTGGAAGAATTTGCTCCAAATTTTCCTGCAGCATTTGCAACCATTTATTTTTAGCAATTGCATCTTTCTGTGGAGTAGACAAATATGGTTCATTAGGAAAATTTAACTGCATTTTCCTACCTGTCATCAATTCAAATGGAGTGTATTGTGTAGCTGAAGACATAGTGCCTCTAATACCCATAAGTACAGCAGGAAGTGCCTGTACCCATGTGTTGCCTTTCTCAAGTAACATTTTTGAAAGTCTAGATTTCAATGTTCGATTCATACGTTCCACAATCCCAGCAGATTGTGGATGATATGGAACATGAAATCTCTGCTCTATGCCTAGAATAGCACACAGTGCTTGCATGATTTTCCCTGTGAAATGGGTACCTCTGTCTGACTCTAGAAGTCTAGGAAATCCCCATCTTGAGAAAATGTGTGTCCATAATGCTTCAGCTGTTTTTTGTGAATCATCTTTAGTCAGAGGAATTACTTCTAACCATTTAGAGAATACATCCACAACTACTAACGCATATTTTAATCCATTCTTGCCTGTTGGTAATGGCCCAATAAAATCAATTTGTAAAGTAGTCCAAGGACCATTTGCAGGTGCTATACGTTGTATAGGCGGTTTTTGTCCTTTAGGTCTGGGATTTTTTTGTGCACATATCAAACATGATTGCACTACCTGTTGTACAGTCTTTTCCATGTTATCCCAATAAAACTTATCTCTTAGTACCTCTAACAATTTCTGCTGTCCAATGTGACCTAAGCTTTCATGATTATATTGAGTAAATAACACTTTTAGATGTTCTGGCATGACCGGACACAGTTCTCCATTTTGGTCATGACACAAAACCCCGTTCTCATGAACAAATGGAGGTTTTGGATCAACCCGAGAAGCCGCAAGGGACGAATCCTTTGCCTGTTCTTCTGCAAAAGATGGAGGCTGTGTGTTAGTCTTTCTAACCACTGCTACTGACATAGGCTCTGTCTGCAATGCATTTTCACCAGTTAAAGCTGCTCTTTTTGCAAATTTATCAGCTATTTCATTTTCTTCACTAAGTAAATCTTTACCTTTTTGATGGGCAGGAACTTTAACTATAGCATGTAAACATGGCTCTTGAGACGCAATTCCAAATATGGTCTCTAGTGTCTCTTTGTGTGCTAACACTTTATTTGAGGCATCTACGAACCCCCTTCTTTTCCATATAGCTAAATGTTCTGTAAGTGATCTAACTACATATGAACTATCACTATATATCACTAGGGGATGCCCTTCTTTTTCCTCAAGTGTCAGTACTGTTTTTAATGCTTCTAGTTCTGCTCTCTGTGCTGACAAATGACCTGGCAATTTATGCTCTACTGAATATCCTCATTTTGGATACCATATAGCATAACCTGTATAGTACTTCCCATCGGAACAGAATCTGGACCCGTCAACAAACACAGGTTCATCAGATTCACTTGCTTCCTTTCTGAAAAGAGAGAGAAAATTCTCTTCAACTTCTGCTAAACATTCATGGGGTTTACCCTCATATTGCATTAGTTGTGGAAGTACATACTTTGCCTTATGTTCTACCTTAATTTGCTTTGGTGATAGAGCTATTAACCATTGTGAAAATCTCTGATGTGACACACCTGGAATTCCTTTTTCAAGAAGTAATTTCAAAGGTGTGTGTGGTGTTTGCAGAATTATGTCCTTGAATCCCACTATGTGTTCAGTTGCCATTACCGCAAAATGTACTCCTACCAAATGTCTGGCACAAATTTCTAGCCCTCTTTCCACTGGGGAAAGAATTTTAGAAAAATATCCCACTATTCTCCATATCTCTTGCTGCAATTGTAATAGTACTGCGGAGACAGCCGTCTCTGAAGTATGTACTTGAATTGCAAAAGATGCAGTTGGATGTATTGTCGCTAAAGCAGGTGCAACCTGTAAGTCTCTTTTAAGTACCTCAAATGCATTCTGATGTTCATCTGTCCATGGTCCAAATGAAGATTCACTATTTTTCAAGAGATCATATAAAGGTTTGGCTTTTTCAGCGAACCCTTCAATGAATTCTCTGGAAAAATTCATTAATCCTAGGAACTGGCGTAAGGCCTTGTGTGAAGTCGGTACAGGAAGAGAAGAAATTGTTTTGATTCTTTCCTGCACTGGCTTCTTATGTCCTGGACCAATTTGTACACCCAAGTATTGTACTTCTGGTTGCATCAGTGTTACTTTGCGTGTATTCAGTTTTAAACCAGAATCCTGCAAAAGGAAAAATAATTCATTTAACAGAATCAGGTGTTCTTCCTCAGTTTCAGTCTGCAAAAGCATATCATCAACATATTGTAACAAGCATTCTGGCCTAGAAAACTTAGACAAAACTTTTGCTAATGCCTGATGAAAATATGTTGGAGAACTGTGAAAACCCTGGGGTAACACAGTAAACACATATTGCTGATTTTGAAATGTAAAAGCAAATTTATACTGACAACTATGCTTTAGTGGTACAGAGAAAAACCCATTACTTACATCTAGTACTGAGTATACCTTAGCCGTTGACGTCAATCGTGACATTATATCTGGGGTTTCTGCCACCACATGTGTAGAAGGTGGTGTGTATTTATTTAATGTACGTAAATCAATTGTTAATCTCCAGCAATTCAATTCTTTTTTCAAAATTGGCCACAAATTAAGATTGCATGGACTATTTGCTTTTCTAATTATTCCTCTCTGTTCCAAATCATTAATGACACTTGCAATAGAATCAATTGAATCTGGGGGTAATCTATACTGCCTCTGTGGGAGTGGATCAGGACCTTGAATGTCAATCATCACATTTTTAAATCTTCCACATTCATTTTTACTTTGTGCCCATAAATCTGGATAACTCTGTACAATCTCTTTAAGTTCAAGGTTATCCCTAGTATTAGGCCATTGCATTTCTGTAGACACTACATCTACTGGACAAACAATTCCTAGCTCCCCATATTCAGTAGGATCCAATAGCACTGGTTTCCTACCCTTAGCATCTTTCCAAATAGCTTTGTTTCCCAAAACAACAATCCAACCTCTTTTTTGCATAACATCTGTGCCTATGATATTATCAACATTTTTGCAGTACCAGATATCAATTTTTGTTTTTAAACACTGAGGTATTTCTAAAGTAACATTATTTACTAATGTTGCCATAGATCCTCCACTTCTGTCAAAACCTACAATTGTACATATAGGTGCACTTGGTGATAAAGGTAGTTGTAAACTAGTTATACTTAACTGAGCACCTGTATCAACAAGAAATTCCGTGTCATATCCTTTTAAAGAACATTTAATGTATGGTCTACCACATCCATCTAAATTTAATGGAGCCAAAAATTCAAGTGGACGTGGCCTGATTCCTTTAGATTGTCATTGTGAATTTAAAATTTGGTCAGTCTGATTAGACATGTTAGAAATCCCACCCTGTCTGTCTCCTGTGTTTGAGGAAGCTACAATTTCTCTCACTTGCCTTATCAGAGGAGTATATGGTGAATCTCTGGTGTTTTCTATATTAGGATTATTGTGAATAAATCCATTTGATTTGCCATAATCCCTTGATTGTAAATCATAAAAATAATTCCTGCAGTTTCTCTTTATATGACCTGGCTTGTTACAATAGAAACAGACCAGACTATGTGTCGAGTTTCTTTCATAGTGTGAGTGGGGCATATTAAAACTTGGAGCTTCTCTCCTCTTTGTCTGAGTTCTAGCAGCTGCAGGAGGCGAGGGAGGAGGGGACTTTCTGTATCTGGGTTTGTCCTCTCCCTTTTCTCTCCTAACTGCACAGACAGATTTTTTAATATTTTGTTGTCTGGATTCCCTTCTCACCCTATCTAGAAATGATGCAGCATCTTCAATATTTTGACACTGGAGAGCGCATGCAATTGATATTGGATCAAGATATTAATTTTTTTTTACAAATGCATTTATCATAGATTTTGGTGTCTGATCATCAGGAATACTCATTACCAATCTGTATGCACGCTCAAATTTTAAAAGAAAACTGAAGACATCTTCATTTATATTCGGTTTAAAATTTTCTAAAATCTCAATATCCACATGCTCATTTCCTGTTGTTAATCTTATTAATTGTGTCAATCTATCTCGCTCATTCCCATGGACTATTTCACCATCTTCGTCATTAGGGGTACTTATGGGTGGGGTCAGTCTACGTGCAATGTATGTTGGCAGCCATATTTTAAACAATCTGTTCCTTTGTTCGTCATTCAAATTATGTTTCGATAAATTAGACTCAAATATGTCTGCATTACCAAAGGCATCCATTGATTATCTTTGGTAACTTTCATCAGCTGCTCTTGAATTTTTAATTTAAGTTTTGCAGCCTTATCTAACAATTTTCTACGTTGCAAATCAGCCTGGGATTATATTTCTGTGACATCAACTTGCTCTGGTATCAAATTATGATCACTCCTTGTAATCACACACAACTGTTTAGCTTCAGTTCTAAATTTACAAATTAATTCAGATTTAAGATCCAGTTGTTCTCCCACAGAGCTTAGTGGTGTACTAGCAAAACCATTAACAGATTTATTTAACCAATCATTGTTAACAGGAGTAGTCCCAGAAGATTGGAAGTTAGCGAATGTTGTGCCCATTTACAAGAAAGGTAATAGGGAGGAGTCGGGCAACTATAGGCCAGTAAGCCTTACTTCAGTAGTGGGGAAAGTGATGGAAACCATGTTAAAGGATAGGATTGTTGAACATCTAAAACACATGGATTTCAAGATCAGAGACAACATGGGTTTACTTCAGGGAGATCATGCCAAACTAATCTTATTGATTTTTTGATTGGGTAACTAAAATAATAGATCAGGGTGGTGCAGTAGACATTGCTTACCTAGATTTCAGTAAGGCTTTTGACACTGTTGCACATAGAAGGCTTATCAATAAACTGCAATCTTTAAGTTTGGATTCCAATATTGTTGAATGGGTAAGGCAGTGGCTGAGTGACAGGCAACAGAGGGTTGTAGTCAATGGAATATATTCGAAGCTTGGACTTGTCACCAGTGGGGTACCTCAGGGATCTGTACTTGGACCCATTCTTTTAATATTTTTATTAGTGATATTGCAGAAGGTCTTGATGGTAAGGTATGTCTTTTTGCTGATGATACTAAGATATGTAACAGGGTTGATGTTCCAGGAGGGATACGCCAAATGGAAAATGATTTAGGTAAACTAGAAAATGGTCAGAATTGTGGCAACTGACATTTAATGTGGATAAGTGCAAGATAATGCATCTTGGATGTAAAAACCCAAGGGCAGAGTACAGAATATTTGATAGAGTTCTAACCTCAACATATGAGGAAAGGGATTTAGGGTGATTATTTCTGATGACTTAAAGGTAGGCAGACAATGTAATAGAGCAGCAGGAAATGCTAGCAGAATGCTTGGTTGTATAGGAGAGGTATTAGCAGTAGAAAGAGGGAAGTGCTCATGCCATTGTACAGACCTCACTTGGAGTATTGTACACAGTACTGGAGACCGTATCTTCAGAAGGATATTGATACCTTAGAGAGGGTTTAGAGAAGGGCTACTAAACTGGTTCATGGATTGCGGGATAAAACTTACCAGGAAAGGTTAAAGGATCTTAACATGTATAGCTTGGAGGAAAGACTAGACAGGGGGGATATGATAGAAACATTTAAATACATAAAGGGAATCAACACAGTAAAGGAGGAGACTATATTTAAAAGAAGAAAACTACCACAACAAGAGGACATAGTCTTAAATTAGAGGGACAAAGGTTTAAAAATAATATCAGGAAGTATTACTTTACTGAGAGGGTAGTGGATGCATGAATAGCCTTCCAGCTGAAGTGGTAGAGGTTAACACAGTAAAGGAGTTTAAGCATGCATGGGATAGGCATAAGGCTATCCTAACTATAAGATAAGGCTAGGGACTAATGAAAGTTTTTAGAAAATTGGGCAGACTAGATGGGCCGAATGGTTCTTATCTGCCGTCACATTCTATGTTTCTATGTTTCTATCATAAATACTCGCCTGTAGTCTATCACAGTTAGTACATTTCATTTCTGTTACACATACAGATTTCTCTTTACTGTCTGTCTGTGTACTTTTTAAATCTTGCACCTTTACTTGTGCTGGTACTTGTAATTTTGTTGGAGCCACTCCTGTTCCAAGGATCATTGTGTCAAATGTTTCTACCAATTTTAAAACATTTCTAATTTTCTTTTTTGTTTTATTTAAACATAACAATTTATTATCAATAGCTGCATTTTGCTTGTTTACATTGTTCATACAAACTTGCCCACAATTGACTATCTGTATGGCATCTATCAAACACAAAATCAAGTTTACTTTTCTCTGCAATATCAGTAACAAAATCCATTATTACTCACCAGACAAGGTGATCTTTAATGCACGACACCGTCTGCCTTTAATCTTACAGCTGCGCAGTGTGGATTTGCTTCTGGAAACTTGCCAATCTCTGCCACGTGCTTGCTTCTAGATTTCACGTTGTATCTTGTGCTGCTTTCTTTATAACACGTGCTTTTGTCTGTTGTAGAATATAATCTTGGAACAGTCTTTGTAATTTGAAAATCTTTGTCTTCTAATAAACACACACAACTCTTAACACAGCTTTTAACACGTTCTTTTTTCTGTTTCTGGCTGCACACACTTCTATTCAACACAAAAAGTAATTCGATACCCGTGCTCTCTCTGCTCACCTCCCCCCCTGAATAGAAGTTTGTAACAGCAGAAAACAGTCTGGCTGGCTCGTCAATGTAATAACTGGCTGTGTTTTTCTATAGTTGAATAAGTCTTTTATGTATATATATATATAGATATTTCTTCTTAATTTCTTCTTATCTTCAGTTGATTGATATATATACGTCTTTTGTATATATATTCTTGGGCCAAATGCTCGCCACAATAATATATGTCTATATTATTGAAAAGTAGTAATACGCAATCTGACGTTCTTTATAAAAAATTAGTATTTATTCTACATTCAACAGGAAACAATCATATACTTAACTAATGGTACTTCTTAACGATGTTACAGAGAGTCGTCTTGACATCAGAGAGGAGAGCAAACGGATCGTAGCAGGAAGAGAGCGTAATCCTTTGTCCTTGACTCTATATACCCCAAATTACATCATAATGTTTAGTTTAGACCCTGCCATATAAGGAAGTTCCCTATATAAAGACCGCCTCAAATCTCTTATACAGCAAATTCCAGAGACCTCATATTACAGAGTAGCAAACACCATCTGTTCTGTTTAACCCATTAGACAGCCACACCTTAATATGTATTTGAATAGGAACATACAGAATATGCAATATTCTACAATAGGTCAATCCCTACTAATTGCCAAGTTGTGCGGAGAGGCTCTACCTATGACATGGCCCACGGGGAAATGTGGCCATTGAACGATGTGGCGGGATGTTGGCCTCTCGGTGATAGTATAGAGAAAAATGTTTGGCCGTGGCATGTGACATTCTAAAACTACCCCTGTAGAAGTGGACATGAGGAAAATACACTAGCGTGGGCCATTTGGGCGATTCCTCTATGTGAGGTGGGTGGGGGGGAGGTGGGGAGGCCTCATGGGAACTAGAACTTAAAAGTATTCGGGGAAGGTCCTGTCCCTTGCAGCCAGTTCTCTATCCCTGGATGCGGCTTGTCTTATTGAAAATGCAGCGCAAATGTAACTACGTACCTAATAACCAGAAGAGATAGACCCTGAGTGGAAGCTGGAGGGATGATGTAGGTTTAAAGATGCCTATTTTGAAAGAGGATCAAATTATTAACTAATGGGGGGCGGAGCTTGCCTGCTGGTCTGATCAGACGTGTTTTGTCTGAGCTCCTGCATCTGACGCTGATTACCGGGGCTAGCTGCCTATTCAGACCCGAAACAACACTAACCCTGCTAAGCTGCCGCCAGTGATCACGGAGATACCTCCCACATGCCCATCTGACGGTGAATCACCCGTACAGATTTTGGTCGCTCTCCGACGGACGCATTGCTGACTGCCCCTTCACTGACAGAGGTCCTGGACGGGGCCGGTCACCCTAAGATGGTACACACGCTACTACCGCATGCGCAGCAACCTACCATGCTCATGCACAGCGCTTGTGAGCAACTACCGTAGCGCCTGGCTTGGAAATATTCTGGGCCAAGTTAACAGCTCACCTTAACTTGTCTGAGGCTCTAATTGAGATGAGAAAGCAGAGACAGTAGAGGCGGGAGAAGAGAGGGCCTTCCTGGGCGCTCCTTCCAGAAAAGCATTGAAGTCTTCTAATCAGGGCCTACCCTGGCTGAAGGCTAACAGGGAATTACTTCCAGAGCATCGTCCACTGACGAGGAGGACCCATCACTGCAGGCGGCGACAGTCCATCGGGATCTACCTGCAAGGGAAGAACTCGGTCTCTTATTCGAGCACCCAAGTTCAAGGATGCAGGCCTTCACAATGGCCTGGGGTGGTGGGGAGGTCTGCCTCAAGATGCCGCTCAACCCCCTCAGGCAACCACCAAACCAAGGCATTGGCTGACCCGGGACTTGCCACCTCAGATCCTTTAATAGTCGGTAGCCTGATTTACACACTAGCATACTATCCTTCCCATGGCAGGCCTGCCAGCAACCATGGTGCCCCACATGTTTAGACAAGCATCACTATTTATTTAATTTGCCTATTTACATTGTTTATTTGATGTGACACCGCTTTTCTGTTATGTTTCCTGAGGGATGTCGAGGGACGTGGCCTCTTATAGTCCACAATCCATACGCTGACTGTAGTGCCGATGCATAATGGAGGCACCCACCCCGAACACATACTCAGCCTTAGCCCTTATCAGCCTTTCCAAAGGCCGAAAAGAGACAACATACCGGCTTTCCACAGAAGCTCATGCTACCATACTCACCTTAGGGAACAGGGGACAATCTCATGTGCAGGGTTTTCAGTCACAGGGAGGTGGGCCCAGTGGTATCGCCTTTTCACAGGCCTTGCTTGAGACACTAAGTGTAAATTGAGCCCAACACATATTCAAAGCTTAACCTACACTACTCCAAGGGGCATCTCGCTTATATTTATCTTTAAGCATTTACTTTTGCTAGCTACCCCACTATTGTTAAGCATAACTCCCTTTCTCCTTATCCACCCTTAAAATGCGCAGTCTCACCAAAATGCTGATCAACAGTTGCATGTGCTGTTGGAGCATTGTAGGATCTGTTATATTATTACCATGCACTACCAAAATTCTTATATCCATGCATGTTTATTCCTAATGCATTAGTCTAGACATCTCATAAAATCGCTAACTGCTGTTCGCTTATTCAACCTAGACATTCTTGACTAGCATGTTATAATCTACATTAACCATAAAAAATGTGCTAGAAATCTGAATGTCACGACAATGCCATAATATGTATGCTAATACTTGTGTTTGGCCTTCTGTCGTGGTGTGGCAAACCTGTTATGTTTACTATTTGCACAATAAAATAAAGATTGACAAAAAATATTAACTAATGAAAAGTGGAGTATTGGTTATATCCTAGTGGATATGTGTATATAAACGTACCCTTAACTGAGCCTGGGAGAGAACATGCTTACGGGATAGAAGTCTCTTATGTGCACCTGAAAGAAAAAAAATTGGGATATGTGTGATAAGTAGTGATGTATAAATATAAAACAGAACATACATATTAGTTGTATTTTATTTTTTTATTACCTGGAACTTGCTAATCCTAGAAATAGGCACCTAAGATACACATGCAATAAAAACATGGCAACATTTAATTCTTTGTGTGCTATTAGTTTAAGCAGACTGTGATTGTCTATTGTTGTGACTTAGATGATGATCAGATCACATTTTATGACCAATTTGTGCAGAAATCCATATCATTCCAAAGGGTTCACATACTTTTTCTTGCAACTGTATGATATAAGGAAAATATTAGTACCGTGCAAAGGAAATCCGTATATACAGAATAGTATGTAATTGTGTTTAAGCTATCTAAGAGATGTAAGATATAATGACCGATTATTTTGAACTAGTATCCCGTGAGGTAAAATCCAGACAATTTGTGAGCCACATTATTACCTACCCCTTGAAGAACCGCTTACCGGCAAAACGCACATCGGGGCTCCTATGAGTAGCCACATTCTGCAGTCATTTTGTATCAGTCAGACAGTCTCTAGCTAGATTAGAAATCTATACAAGTAACCTAGGTTTTAGCAGTCCTGACAGCTTAGTCATGTTCCAGACAGTAATATCTGCAACGAACAACTCAGGTTGCAGCAGCTCTGAAAGCTCAGAAAATCAGTTATCTGAAAGTGAAATCTATGACCAGAAATCTAGGTTTCAGTAGCTCTGACAGCAATCACTGGCAGATCCAGGGGGGGGCAATGGGGCAATTGCCTCCCCCCCCCCGAGAATCCGAGGTTCTCCCTCTCCCCTGCTGGCTAATGCAGGGCTGGCGCTGTCCAAGCGCCAGCCCTGCAATGTGCCTTCATGGACCGGAGGGGAGATCAGAGATCTCCCTCTCCGGTCCGCAGGCACTGTTTGCTGGCCGCCGGCAGAGGAGGGAGAGAGAGAGGACCCGGGGGAGCTCAGTCTGCAGCTCCTCCAGGTCCTTCTCTCGCGAGCATGGAGCGTTGCCACGGCAACGCTCCGGGTCTCGCGAGAATGAACTCTAGCCCTGGAGACCGGGCTAGAGTTCACTCTCACCACATGGACCACCAGGGATTCCCCACCGGACCACCAGGGATCGAGAAATGTCCTCCCTAAACAAAGGTAAGAAGGGAAGGGGGACATTATGTATATTTTAAATAAAAAAAATCATTTTATCAAATTAAAAAAAAACATTAAAAAAGCCTCCCATCCTTATCATACACATTGCCCCCCACATACATAGACTGCCCCCATACACACACACTGACCTCACTTACACATACACTGCCCCCATACACATACACTGCCCCCCACATACATACACTACCCCCACATACATACACTGCCCCCATACACACACATACACTGCCCCCATACACACATTGCCCACCATACACATACACTACTGCTCCCACACACATACACTGCCCCCATACACACACATACACTTCCCCCATACACACACATTGCCCACATACACTGCCCCCAATACACACACACATACACTTCCCCCATACACACACATTGCCCACATACACTGCCCCAATACACACACACACCCTACACACACATTGGCCCCCCACACACAAACTTCCCCCCACTCACACTGCAACGCACACACACACACTGCCCCATAACACACACTGCCATCCTCACATACACACTGCAACTTTCACACACACACACTGCTCACACAGTCCTTCTTACACAAACACACACACACTGCACCCCTGCTCCTATGCCCTACTACAGCCCCATTTCCAAGCAGACCTCAGGTAAGTTGTCAAACTGTTCTTAAACGGTTTGACTACTTACTCTGGGAGGGGGTCCCGGCACTACTGGCACCATAACCACTACACTGAGCTGTAGTGGGTATTGTGTCTGGATTATTTCCCTAAATAATCTGCAAGTGCCCCTCCCGAGGTCAGGCTCTGGATCCGCCACTGACAGCAATGCCATATATTTAACAGAAATCAGTAACAAGCAACTTAGGTTCTCTGCAGTACTGACAGCTCAGTCACGTAGCTGACAGGGAAAGATGGATATTTCTTCCTATGTTTTCAGACTGATTAGATATCTGCAAAAACTACTTAGGATTAGCAGTCCAGTATAGATCAGTATAGTTCAGTGATTTATCTTACCTGCCTACTGGATGCTATTGAAGTTACCATTTTTCTCGGTTAGTTAAGCAGTCCTCTATTAGATGTAGGTGCCCTTGAAGACACAGTTTAAACTTCAGGCACTACAGTCATTTAAATGTTGCCAAGTTCTGCACTAACCCTTTACTAGTGACTTTCTCCTATTGATTATCATAAAACTTTTTGGACAGTATGCAAAGTATATTTCTGGTTAACTGTTAAACTTACCCTGTTCACATGGATAGCTATCACTGGTTGCGATCACTCTGCTTCAGCTAAGGCTAATCGTTTAACTTTCTTCCCCTATAGCCATTTATACCCACACTCAGGGCCGCCATTAGAAATTGTGGAGCCCCTAACACAGCTCAAGGTCTCCAAGCCCCGCCTCCAAGCCCCGCCTCCAAATCCCGCCAACAGGAATACACACACACAGACACGAAAGGACACAGACACAAATACTGAAACAGACATACTGAACAGACACACACATATACAGATACACACACACACTGACATACATACATGGATCTTGAGTGAGTCCTGATAAAATACAAATGTTCCAGCTGATCGGACCTAAACCTCCTATATAGTGAGGCAGGTAGTATCCACCAGCTGCAAATGGGTTAATATAGTAAAGATCTTATGTATATATAAGAATCAATACCACAAATACAAAATGTCTAACATACCCCTTTAAAAGAGGGTATGCATAATATAAAATGCAAATAAAATGCAAATGTAAAATTAAAATAAAAGTCCAAAGTTAGTCAAATATATGTACAGCAGACATGTAGCTAATTAATACTTTATTGTCTGAACAGCACACTAACATATATAGAGAGACTAACAGTGATAAAATGGTTAAAATGTAAAACAGTCCCACATAAGAGAGGTAGATATTTGGATATTTTACCGGGTCACAGTAGACTGAGGGTCCAAAAAAGAATGATAGACGTTACTTTCTCTCGCCGGCCGGACAGAGAAAGAGGAGGACTGCCTCGTGCTAAGCTGACACCGGGTATTCTCCGCGTGCGTTTCACTGCGGCTCTGCGTTCCAAGTCTCTCTCTCAGGAACTGATGATCGTCGGATGCCTTCCTTACGCGTTTCGTGATTTCAAATCACTTCATCAGAGGATCAAATCAGTACCCTCCGTATATACCCTTTTCTGTAACCTTTGGTGGTGGTTACTAATTGTACTAGTGGCACAGTGGTTTTTATCGGCTACTCTTATCCCAAGATTTTACTATATGAGGATTTCTTCCTAAATATAGTTATCTATCTATTTGACATACATACATACTCACATACTGACACACATACATACATACATGCTGACAAACAGACATACATGTAAATCATGCTTTCCCTACCCTCCAGA